GGGGCGCGCACGTGATCTGCAGGCAGCTGGGCTGCGGCCGCGCCCTCGGAGTCCCGGGGGCCGCCCACTTCGGGGCAGGGGCGGGGCATATCTGGCTGGAGGGGCGGGGCTGCTGTGGCCACGAGGTTGCCCTGGGGCAGTGCCCGTCGCGGGGCTGGGCCTGGGGCTGGCACAACTGCAGGCACACGGAGAACGCCGGAGTCTTCTGCTTAGGTCAGTCCTGTTGCCCCTGAGTCTCTTCATGGACTGATGAGTACCCAATTTTGGTGCTGTTCTATTGGATAAACGAATGCACACGTTTTCCCCACAGTCTCATTACAATCTCCCGGGCCTGTTCCCTTCCTGGAATGCAGAACGTCCACATTCTACATGGTATGCTGCCATAAGGGTACAGGGCAGAGTACTTGGATTCCATGCACTGTGGGAAGCTTGGCCCTAGGGTAGCAGGCCTGGAGTTGCAAGTTCATCTCCAGTTGTGCTTGAAACCTCCCCGTCCTCTGCAATTCTTTCTCTCCCCTTTCTCCTCCTACTCTTTTTCCTTCTCCTCCTCCTCCATCTTCTTCTCTTCTCCTTTCTCCCCTCCTTCTCTCCTTCCTTCCTTGCATGAGGTCTTGCTCTGTTGCCCAGGCTGGAGTGCAGTGGTGTGATGATAGCTCACTACAGCCTCCTGGGCACAAGTGATCACCCGGCCTCAGCCTCCCTGTAGCTGGGACTACAGGCATGCACCACCATGCTCAACTTAGAATTCCTAATTTTGATTCATATTTTGGTGTGCTGGAGAGCTTTTCCAAGACTATTTTTGAGGCTGTGGTTTTTTTTTCTCACACAAACCTGTATGTTGTTCTGAACTTTTCCAGCTGCTGTTATTCTTGGGTAACAGAATTTTGTCATTTTCGGGGGATGCATTCTCAGCAGAAGCCTGTGACGTGGTGGTTGACCCCTGCCTGAAAAGCAGCCTCCCCAGGTACTTCCAGGCCTCCCTGGGGAGGGGGCCGGATGCCAGCAGAGTGTCAACTATACATCCTGGGTTTTGGTTCTGTTTTGTTTTAGGAAGGTTATCTTCAAAGACATCTTAGATTATTACACTTGCTTCAGTTACTGTGCTTCTTCTAAGTAGCACAGTCTCATTAGCTTGACTCTTCCCTATACTTTTTTTTTTAAGTGAGAAAGCAGGATTTATTGAGAGGACAGAAAAGCTCCCACAGTGGGAGGAGACCCGAGGGGGATGCCTACTAGTCTACTTTTTTTTTTGAGTTGGAGTCTCACTCTGTCGCCCAGACTGGAGTGCAGTGGCCACTCCCGGCCACTGCACCCTTGACCTGCTGGGCTCCGGCGATCCTTCCACCTCAGCCTTCCAAGTAGCTGGAACTACAGGTGCACGCTACAACACCCGGCTAATTTTTGATTTATTGTAGAGATGAGGTCTCGCCAAAAGTTGCCCAGGCGGGTCCCGAACCGTCCCATACTTTTAAAATTATATTTTGGCGTGGCTTTTTTCTTGTGCATCCTCAGAGAGTACCTCTAGGCTGCCATCCATGTCACTGATTTCCTTTTCCATCTGCCCTGGCTCTTATCTTTTTGGATGTACATGGTGACGCACTGTGGCTTCAGTGTCCTTGAAGTTCTTATTTCATTTGTTGCCCCTTCATCTCATTTTTCTCTTTTCACGTGAGCCTGTGTTCTCCTAATGATGCTTTGCTCTGCTGTCACAAAAAGTCTGGGTTTTTTTGGCATCTCTGTGAGAATGGCGAGCTGTTTTCTAGAACACTTCTAGATTCATGGAAAGTGATTATGTGAGCCTCTCCCCTGCATCTTGTGCTCTTGTTCTCTTGTCTGCAGCATTTTCCCTTAGGAGGCTGCTCTGTTTGTCTGCACATTCTCACTCTGGGGACCCTGCCTGACCTGGCATTTGCAGGCATCTGCTGGCCCCTGGGGCCAGTTCAGTCCCAGGGCTGCCTCTTTTTCACCTGGGACTCGCCAGTGTTTCAGGCCATTTCTGGCTCTCTGGCACCCCTCCAGGCTCCTCAGGATCCCTGCCCCCTCCCAGGATGTTCCCAAGGGGGGCATGGCCCTTGCAGCTCTTGCTCTTCCATGTCATGGGCAAGGGGACAGGAGGTCCAACAAGAGCCACACCATGACCCGCATTTGGTGCCTGTGCTGCTGGTTTTTCCCAAGTCCCATCTATATGTCCAGGGTGCAATCATTGACCATTTTGGACAGGTAAGTGGGACTATTCATATTTGGGAGACAGCAGTGTTTCAAAGAAAAATTGGAACAGATTTTATGGGGTAGAAGATTTACTTCGGCAGACTTTACAAAAATACTATATTGCGAATATCTTTGATAAAATGAGACATAAAAGTCTGTTTGATGGTGTTAAAATTTATTTTGAATCCAAAAAATTTGAAAGAAGAAAAGAACTCATCTGTAATCCAAACTCCTAGAGAAAGAGCCACTGTGAGTACCTGCTGTCACAGTAGTGCTGTGGAACAAACCACCCAACAGATGATGCTGATGTCTCTGGCTCTTACGTTTGTGGTCACTGCCTTAGTTGAACTCTGCCAGTGAGCTTTTCTTCTGGCTGGGCCTATGCAGACATCTGCGGTCACCTGAGGGTTGGCTGGGCTCTGCTTCTGGGCATGGCCATAGGCAGGAGGGATAGAAGCTCTGTTTCTCTAATGATCCAGCCTTGGTTCCAAAAGAGATAGCAGAATCAGGCTAGAAATGGGCATAGGCTCTCTGACTCTACTGGGTTGGCCCAAGTCCCAAGGCCAGCCCGGATTCAGAGCTGGGGAGTAGACTCGGTGCCAGGAATACAAAAACAGGTGGAGAGCATTTGTGGCTGCTTTTGTATTCCATTACGATGTGTTTCCTTCCAGTATTTTTTCTAGCTTCTTTTAATTATGATCCTTTAAAATGCAATTTATGTCCAGCTTCCTCCAAGTATTCAGATATAGGTATTTTTAATATTATTACAGTACCTTGAAACATAATTTTAAAGGATTATTTAATACTCCATTAGGTGACATTGCATTGCTCCAGGGTAACATGAAAATACTTAGACACCGATCAGTCAGGACCAATGCTATCTTTGAACATAAGGCCCTGGTTAATTTATGTTTTAAAAAAATTTACTATGTATTTATTTTAATTTTATTGTATATATTTAAGGTGTACAGCAAGATGTCTTTATAGGTGTATAATTTGATGATTACTGCAGTGGAGCCCACAAACATATTCGTCATCTCACATAGTTACTTTTGTTTCTGTGGAAGAGCACCTAAAATCGACTGTGAATTTTCAGTATACAATACAATAGTATTAACTATATTCTTTCTACATACATTAGCTCTCTCGATTTATTAATCCTACATAACTGTGAACTTGGACACTTTGACCTACTTCTTCTTGTCTTCCCCACCTACCTTTGGTAACCATGTTTTATTATCTGTTTTTATGTATTCAACTTTTTTTAAAGCTCCTGGATATAAGTGAGATCATGCGGAATTCATCTTTCTGTGCCTGGCTTATTTTCTTAACTTATTGTCCTCCAGGTTCACTCAAATTATCACAAGTGACAGAATTTCCCTTTTTTTGGAGGCTGAATAGTATTCCATTGTGTATATATACCATATTTCTTTTTAATGTAAATAAACTGACAAATAATAATTGTACATATTCGTTGGGTTCATAGTGATTTTTCTTTTCTTTTCTTTTCTTTTGTAGAGACCAGGTCTCACTCTGTTGCTCAGGCTGGTCTCGAACTCCTGGGCTCAAGCAATCCTCCGACCTCAGCCTACCAAAGTGCTGGGATTACAGGTGTGAGCCAGAATTCCTAGCGAATAGTAATTTTTCGATGCATAAAATGTATAGTCATCAGAGCAGGATAATTAGCATGTCCATCACCGCAAGCATTTATCATTTCTTTGTGTTGCAAATGTTCAATATCCTCCTTGAACAATACATTATTCAATAACAATATATTATTGTTAACTATAGTCATCCTACAGTGTTATAGAACACTAGAACTTACTCCTCCTAGCTACTGTAATCACGTGTCCTTTAACAAATCTCTTTTTCCTTCTCAGCCTCTAGTAACCTTTATTCTACTTTTCACTTTTATGAGATTGACTCTTTTTAGCTTCCACACTTGAGTGAAAACATGCAGTGTCTCTGCCTTGTTGGCTGGGAGAGTTGGCTGGGTAAGCCTTGACTTCTCAGACACGGGGCTCTGTGTCCAAAGTAGAGCTGATGGCAGTGAGCCGTCAGGACAATAAGAGCTGTCAGCCATGCTCGGCCTGGTTCGTCCCTCTTGTGTCCCCTACCTGAGCCCCCATGCCTGGATTCTCCCATCACAGCTGGATTCTCCCAGCAAAACCTTCCACCCGTGTCCCCACAACTGGATTCTCCCAGCTGAGCCCTCCCAGGTGGTCCCTGCCCCGGATGTGATGACCTAAATTTGAAGAAATGAGTGTGTGGAGAGGGATGCGATCGCTGGGGAGTCTGGGTCTTCATTGTCCTCGTTCTTGAGACAGATGGTATGCAGATAAATGGGGGTCCCCAACACCCATGTTAACCGTTGGGGCCTCAGGAACCTTAGGTCCTAGTCTTGCTTTGCTCCTGAGCTGGGCTGGGTGAGGAAACTTCACAGTCCCATGGCCGGCCTGGCATGAGAACAGGTTTCCAGGGTCTCCCGATCCTTTGTGATGTATGTGTAGTGGGGGACTTTCCTGGGTGTGTTCAGGGGCTGAGACCAACAAGCCCCATCCCAGCACACTGGGCCTGGGTGCCTGGGAAGGCGTGTGGCCCCTGGTGGGGTCTTTGGTGTCGGTGTTGGGCTGTTGGCAGAGGAGCCAGGGGTCTCGGCATGCATGAGAGGGGACAGGGGCCGGACATCTTGGGTTTGGACTGCAGGAGCATATATTCCAGAGGGTTCTGGTGTGGCCTTGCAGATTGTGGAATGTTGGGACATCCATCGTCGGAGGGTGTCTATGAGGACATCGGAGCCATCCCCCTGGGGGAAAAGAGGAGGAGCTTACAGCGTCTGGAGACCCAGTCCTGGAGGAGGAGTATGACGACGCGGGAGAGCCCGAGGACGGTCCGGGGGAGGGGGCCCAGGAAGCCAGGAAGCTGCTGAGCCCCCAGGTTTGCACCTCTGTGCCCTGGTGTGCATGGTGCTCCTCCTGCTGTTTTGTTGCTATGCAGGAGGCTGTATTCTGGCCAGTGCCTACATTTAGAGAACGTGGCAGCCACTTCTCATGGCCATGACCCTCACTGCTGTCTCAGGCGAGGCACTAGGACTTTCAGCTGTTTCTTGTGAGACTGGAGTCTTCCAGTGGGTAGATTTTTGGAGTGACGGAGGTCATTGATCTCTATTCGGGTTTCTTTTGTGGCTGCAGTGTCCTTTTAGCCCCTGTCCTAGTTGGCTGCAGGGGGACCCTGAGCAGACAGGGTCTGGGGAGGACTTGGTGTGAGAAGGAGTGTCATTCTTGCCTGACCCATCGTGTCACATCTGTGTCCCTCTGTGGCTTTCCTTCACAGTGAGAAGCCAGGGGCTAGGATTCTTGGGGCTCTGAGAGATTGTCGAGGACCCCAGTGCTTTGTCTCTCCTTAAACACAGGTGGCAGCCTGGACCTTGAAGCTCCAGCTGGGATGGAAGAACATGGTGGCTCCTGCCCTAGGATGTGATGACCTTGATCTGGGGGGCATTAGTGTATCAAGAGGGTGGGATAACCCGGGGAGTCTGGGTCTTCACTGTCCTCATTCTTATAACAGATGTTATTAAACTGCCTTTGAACTCACTCATTCATAAGCACTCCAACTCAGAAGCATTCATCAAACACTCCACGGTCTACGTTTCTTTCTCTTTTTTTTGAGTTGGAGTCTCACTTTGTCACCCAGACTGGAGTGCAGTGGCCGCTCCTGGCCACTGCAGCCTCGACCTGCTGGGCTCCGGCGATCCTTCCGCCTCAGCCTTCCAAGGAGCTGGAACTACGGGCGCGTGCTACCACGCCTGCCTAATTTTTTGATTTATTGTGGAGATGAGGTCTCGCCAAGTTGCCCAGGCGGGTCTTGAACACACGGGCTTAGGCAATCCACTCACCTCAGCCTCCCAAAGCGCGAGATGACAGGCTGAGCCACCGAGCCCGGGTTACGGTCCAGGTTTCATTCGAGGCTTGCTCATCTGCCTCACCCTGGTCCTTTGCCCTTCCTATGTTTTCAGCTTGACATAGTCTCACTCAGTCTCTCGCCCACAGGGTTCTCCTGGGGTGGTGGGTAGGGTTTACTGATGAAGCAGTTCAAGGCACTCATTATTTGCAAGCAGGATTTTTCTTCACTCACTGGGGGGCTGATTTATCTTAATCTCCAGGTCTCACAACTGTCCTGGTCTTGATTTCAGCACACACTGGACCTTGGTGATGTGACCAAGGCATTTGTGATGACACTCCCCGAGGCAGCCCTTCTGACCCCTCCCATTCATTCATGTCCTCTTCTGCCATGACCAGACCCGACTATGACCACTTTTGCTCACTAAACCAATCCACGAACACACCTCCCATGATGCATCCCTCCAACCACATTCACTCTTGTCCACTTTTCATGACCACACCCACCATGCTCCAGCACTCTGTGGCCACACATATCCACCACCTACCTCCATGATGACAACCTGTCAGAGAAATATGTTTCCTGGTACCCTCTTCCCTGGGTGGATCTTGATAGGTTTACAAATGTGTGGAATTATTAGTAGTATGATGAAGAATAGACCCACCTGATGTCCTGATGGATGGTGAACCTTCATGGTGACCTGACGGAGAGTGGATTTTCATGACATCCTGGCGGAGTGAGGCCCTCATGGTGACCTGATGGAGTGTGGACCCTCATGGTGACCTGGTGGAGACTGGCGCCTTGTAGTCACCTGATGGAGTGTGAACTCTCATGACAACCTGGTAGAGCATGGATTTACTGATATCTCTGCAGGTATAGGGGTGCTTCTGCCTCCCAGCCTATTCTTGGCGGCTCTGGAAGTTAGAAGGCATTCCAGTCATTCATCTGGTTATCCCTACTGTGCTCCACAGTCTTGTGGACACTGGCCAATGTGATGTGGGTAATCAGGATGTGGGGAGAACAAAATGGAAGCTGGTGACCAGGACAAGGTCAGCAAACCTAAAAGGCTGAGGATCCACTGGGGTTCAGACAGAAGCATCTCGCCCTTTCCCTCCCTGTCTATCCTGCCCACTGGCCATACCTCTGGTCTTCCTGGCTGTAGGCTATAGGCCGTCCTCTCCGCCTGCTCCTACCCCTTTCCAGGTGTATTCTCCTTTCGCCTCTCTGAAAGTATAAGCATATGAGTGGTTCCAGCTCCTTCCTTCAAGGAAGGTTGGGAAATCTTTCCAAATACTTTTCAACTGTCAGCTGGATTTGCAGAAGATTCGTTAGACATCTGGTAGATAGAGTGCTGTTCTGGGTCCCATGAGGCTTGAAATTTATGCCTAGGGGGTTGGGCCATGGAGGAAGTGGGCATGGGTTGAGGGGTTGGGGAAAGCCGTGGCAGTGATGAGGGTCTCCTTTTGTGATCAGGGTATTTTCCTGTCCAAGAGAGTCTTGTTTCCCTCTCTCTGATGCGCACACCTCCACAAAACATCTGCCCCCAGGGCTGACGGCTCATGTACATCCATGCTGTCTTTAGTCTCTATGCTCAGAAGGGACTCCATTTGCTTTAATACTCTGTGTTGACACCTTGGAATGCTTTATAATTTTTCATTAAGGGCCTTGAATGTTCATTATGCTCTGGACCCCACAAATCTGTCGCCTGTGCTGGTACATCTTTTAATCTACTGAAATTATTTATAAAGTAATATGCTCATTTTAGAATCTTTAGAAAGTACAGACACTGCACAAAAAGAAAGTGAAAAATTATCTAAAATTCCACTTTCCAGAAATTAACATTTTTGACATTATGGAATATATCCATGGAGAACTTGATTTACTTACATACATAGTTGGGAACCCAATTGCACAATTCATTATAGTGTGAATTATGTATTTTCCTATGTATTTTTCCTTTGACAATCAATTTTTCATATTGACTTGTTCTATAAATAAAACATCTGAGCCATAATTGTAATGACTGGCTGGCATTCCTTAGTTTATTTTCCCAACCTAGACTAGCTGACTTGTATGTTTGACAGCCTCCTACGGACACGTCCTCACGGGCAGCGTGCATCCCTTGTGAGTGCTGATCACAGGGCGTGCATCCTCCTCGGGACTTGGATCAAATTGCCAAGTCTGTCTGTTCACAACACGCCAAGCTTGGAAGGACCCTAGGTCGTCAGCCACTCCTTTTCTGTGAGACACAGAAAGTCTGTCCTTCTCCTGTGGGGCCCTGGTCTCAGTAGCTGTGGCCACTGGGGCTTTGCTGGGATGGGCCTCTCATACCTGGGCTGCGTTGAGTGCCAGCTGCAGGAAGCCCAGCCCAACCTAGCCTAACCACACGCTGCTGGTGCCATCGGGGCTCAGGCATGGGTGACAGATGAGGGTTCTGATATGGTGGAGGTGGCTAAGACATGCAGGGGTTTCTTTCTCGTAAAGTGTCACGTGGGGTTGGAGGCCACCTTCTGTCTGGGGAAGAGCACATGGGCCTGCCTGAGAGCACTGGCCCGAGTGCTGCAGCAGGAGCAGATTGGCCAAGCATGGCGTTGTCTCCTCTGGGGCTGTGGCCCCTGCTCCTGGCCGGCTGGACCCTCCCTCCTGGTGAGTGTGTGTTGCTGTCCCCGGGGCTTGGGGGTTAGAGCCATGGTCTGTAGGATGTTTTGGAGGGAGGGCTGCAGAATGATACAACACAGCCCACACTGTGATTTCTTTGTGCATCTCGACTACCTGTCACTTATTTAAGAAATCATCTTGATGCCATAAACATGCCAAGTATTAATGGCATGAAAATTTGAGCTAGAAGAGGGAATTTGGATGTAAAGTGAGGCTGAGCTTTCTAATCTTTGCAAATTCTGAATGAAATTTTGGAATCTTCTTTCTCCTTCCTGTGTTCTTGTTCCTGAAGGCCTGGCTGGGGAGGAGGCCCTGAGTCTCCTGGGGGGCGGAAACCGCTGTGAGGGCCTCCTGCAGGTGCAGTATCGAGAGCAGCAGGGCCCGGTGTGTGGGGACCGCTGGGGTCTGCGGGAGGCGTCGGTCACCTGCAGACAGCTGGGCTGTGGCCCTGCACTGTCAGCCTCCAGATTCATTCTGCGACTTCAGGAGATGGAGTCTTTCTGGCTGCACGGTGCCCAGTGCCAGGGTGAAGAGGCTTCACTCTGGGAGTGCTCCCTGGGAGCCTGGGCACTTCAGAGCAGCTGCCAGTGCCAGTGTGTGGTGGTGATAGGCTGCTCAGGTAGGTCAGATGGGGGCCCCTGAGCGCCCCTAGCTCCCAGGACCTTTGGAGACACCAAGGCAAGTCCCCTGGGGGGAGGAAGGGTCTGGCCCAGGGGAGAGGGTCTGGCCCAAGTCTGCACCAGGCATCCCTGGCAGAGCTCCAGGAGTCCCTACTGCTGCAGGATGACGGCGAGATGGGAGCCCCGGTCTCACCCTCCGGCCTGCTCCCCAGTGAGGACCCTCTTTGAACTTATCTTTGATGTTGGTCCCCAGGTTTCTAAACTCAGTCATCAAAGCTAGACTTTTCCTTTGTCACCCTCCATCCTCAGGGCCACCTCAGAAAACTCCCTGAGGTTTCCACACACCCAAACTGTGTAGAATGCCCTGCATCATCACAGTGAGGGTCCCCTACCTGGGTGCTCACAGCAGGTGGCCTGATTCTGGCTCCCATGGTGGCTTCTTTCCATGCTAAGCCATGATCCAGCAATCCTGGGAGGACGTCATCCTAGGAGGAGGGGGGCTCTATCACCCTGGTGCCCCCACCAGGAACCCAGGCACAGTGGGTTGGAGCCTCAAGGGGTCCCATGGATGCCGAGCCAGGCCAGGCCTGTCAGTGCTCAGCCTGCATGTGTGCCGAGGACACAGGTTTCTCTTCTGTACCACCAGGTGGTACCTTGCAACAAATTGGGCTGGGCGGCGGTGGCAGCCCCTGTGCCGGGACCCTCGAAGTGCTGAACCCGGCCGGATCTGTCCTGAGGTGTGACTTGCATAAGGAGGAAGCCAGCGTCTTGTGCAGACAGCTGGGGTGTGGCTCCGCTCTGCAGTGGTCCAAAGCCCACCCTGGAAGGGCCCCTGGGGACCAGGGGCAGAAGTTCGTGACCTGCCAGGGAACGGAGCCTGCCATTTCCGACTGCGTGGTCAACCTGAACTTCCTAGAGCAGTGTGATCGTCCCATGTACACCGAGGTGGTGTGCTCAGGTAGGGATGCACTGCCCAGGGCAATTTTGAATGAACAGAGGGGGTCACGGCATCTACCTCACGGCTCAGCCATAAGCCTGAGTGGAAACCTCCTCTCCTCGTTCATGCCAGGTGACACGATTCTTGATTCTGCCTTCCACTGTGCGGGGGCCCAGGAAGGCCCCCAAACTGTCCCCTTGCTGTGGACCTTGTGCCACTGCTGTCCTGCCCAGGGTTCCCATAAAAGCTTGTGCCCTCAGGGAGAGGAGGTGGGGCTCATTGGCTCTGCAAAGGGTTCCAGGGGGATCCCAGGGAACCCGTGTCTCCCCAGAGGTAGGGGGCAGGAGCCGGTGGGGTCAGCACCCGAGGAGATGCAGAGTGGCAGGAGAGACCTCACCATGCACAGCTCAGGACTTCTCCTTCTGATATCTGGGCCCCAGGGGCCAGCCAGGCCAGGTGGTCATGGGTCCTCCTGCAT